TCCTCACACCGAGGACCTATCCACGTCATCATTTACCCAGAACGCTTTGCGTGTAAATAAAATGGCTCCATCCGTGTTGAAATATATTTTTTAAAATTTAGTTCAGAAATGATGAAAACTAAACAGCCTACAGTATTTTTACAATCTTTATTTTACAGTTAAAATAAAATTTTATTAAAGTCTAATGTTACAACTAATCATGGATCTTTAAACGCTATGATTGGTTGTCTGAATTTATAGTTTTTGTTTTTAAAGTTTTTACATAACTCATATTTCTGTCATCGTTCTGCTTCTCCACAGGGACAAAGAGAAGAAGCCGAAAACACAGAGGACTCTGATCACAGCCGAAGGACGAGTGCTGAACGTCAACGAGCCCAAGTAACGTCTGAGAGAAACTTTTAGTTGAACAGAAAAGTAAAACTTCGCAGGAAGCAGGAAAAAGACTCCTGAGATTTAAAAAAGACCACTTATCTACAGAAGTAATTAAACTCTTTATCTGGTGAACACATCAAAGCTGTTATTCTCGCACCTGATTGGCTCACCTGCCGTCATCTTAAAGTTCAACCTGAGCACAGCGACCCACCTGTCTTTARGCTGAGTTTAAAGCCAGGTTGAGCAGAAAAACAGAACATATTAAAAATAATAATCCACACTATGTGTGATAAAAACAGAACCATAAAACTGCCCCACAGCAGGAGCTCAAAAATCCAATGACGCCCAAACGCATCACWGATCTGATTCCTCTCTGACCTTTCACAATAAAAGTAAATGTTTTCTTCCTGTTAATCAGGCTGGAGTTTTCTTTAACCGAAGATGAAGACAACAACACGATCATTTTGGACCTGGCTGTTAACAGGTGAGACGTTWTTTAACAGGTATCAGCTGTTATCACCCAACCGCCATGAGAGGCAGCTGATTGTGCTCATGTCTGTCAGTAAAATATCTCAATTTTAATGAAACTTTAAGAAAGTAACTATTCAAGATGTAAACAAACAGAAAAATGTCCATAACTCAGTTTGACAGACGTGTTTTTGTTATCCTCTTGTCCTCAGACTCTTGGACACCTCCCTGATGRACGTCGACGTTCAGCCGACGTTCTCCAGAGTCACGATCCGAGGAAAGGTACGAGCTTCAGGAGGGGAAACGTGTAACTTTAGGTTTTTCCACTCGGACCTCCAGTCGTCAGTGTGACGTTCCAATAGTTCACGTTTTACAGTTTAATAAATATATTTAAACTTTGATCTCATCCTGAAGGAAATCACTAATTCTGTTCTGACTGAAGAGATCCTTCAGGCGTTAAAAGATGCTCCACTTCAGGGAGTTTTGACTTTCAACCTGCAGCTCATTTAATCAGATTATTTCAGCTCCAGTTTCGTCTTTAGCCAGACGGATCAACCGARCGCTGCAGCTTTCAGAGACACGAGATAAACTGTGGAGGCAGGCTGGAGGGAAAACTTCTGACCTGCTCCTCTAAAAACCTGCACCGAAACAGAGCCAGACTTTCATTTTCAGAGACTGTTGAGGATTTATTTTGAAACTCTGGTTGTGGTTCAGCTGCTGTTTTGGCCAACTTTCAGCCTGACTAAAATTAGGATTAGCAGTAGAATCTGTTGTAGCAGTAGCCATAGTAGCATTAGCAATAGCAATCATCTTAGTAGCATTTGCCATAGCATTAACAGCAGTAGTAGTAGCTTTAGCCAAAGTAGCATTAGCAGTGGTACCTTAATAGTAGAATCTTTAGAAACAGTTATATTAGCGTTAACCATAATGGCATTAGCAATAGCAAACATCTTAGTAGTGTTACCAATAGTAGCATTAGCAGTAGCTGTAGTATCATTGGCCATAGTTACAGCAGTAACATTAGCTGTAGTAGCAGCAGTAACGTTAGCTGTAGTAGCAGCAATAACGTTAGCTGTAGCAGCAGTAACGTTAGCTGTAGCAGCTGCAGTAACGTTAGCTGTAGTAGCAGCAGTAACGTTAGCTGTAGTAGCAGCAATAACGTTAGCTGTAGCAGCAGTAACGTTAGCTGTAGCAGCAGCAGTAATGTTAGCTGTAGTAGCAGCAGTAACGTTAGCTGTAGCAGCAGCAACGTTAGCTGTAGTAGCAGCAGTAACGTTAGCTGTAGTAGCAGCAGTAACGTTAGCTGTAGCAGCAGTAACGTTAGCTGTAGCAGCAGCAACGTTAGCTGTAGTAGCAGCAGTAACGTTAGCTGTAGCAGCAGCAATGTTAGCTGTAGCAGCAGTAACGTTAGCTGTAGCAGCAGTAACGTTAGCTGCTGTAGCAGCAGTAACATTAGCTGTAGCAGCAGCAGTAACATTAGCTGTAGCAGCAGCAGTAACATTAGCTGTAGCAGCAGTAACATTAGCTGTAGCAGCAGTAACGTTAGCTGTAGCAGCAGTAACGTTAGCTGTAGCGGCAGCAGTAACATTAGCTGTAGTAGCAGCAGTAAACGTTAGCTGTAGTAGCAGTAATGTTAGCTGTAGCAGCAGCAGTAACGTTAGCTGTAGCAGCAGTAACATTAGCTGTAGCAGCAGTAACGTTAGCTGTAGCAGCAGTAACGTTAGCTGTAGCAGCAGTAACGTTAGCTGTAGCAGCAGTAACGTTAGCTGTAGCAGCAGTAACATTAGTGTAGCAGCAGTAACATTAGCTGTAGCAGCAGTAACGTTAGCTGTAGCAGCAGTAATGTTAGCTGTAGCAGCAGTAACGTTAGCTGTAGCAGCAGTAACATTAGTGTAGCAGCAGTAACGTTTGCTGTAGTGGCAGCAGTAACGTTTGCTGTAGCAGCAGTAACGTTAGCTGTAGTGACAGCAGTAACGTTAGCTGTAGTAGCAGTAATGTTAGCTGTAGCAGCAGTAACGTTAGCTGTAGCAGCAGCAGTAACGTTAGCTGTAGCGGCAGCAGTAACGTTAGCTGTAGCAGCAGCAGTAACGTTAGCTGTAGCGGCAGCAGTAACGTTAGCTGTAGCAGCAGTAACGTTAGCTGTAGTAGCAGCAGTAACGTTAGCTGTAGCAGCAGTAACGTTAGCTGTAGCAGCAGCAGTAACGTTAGCTGTAGCAGCAGTAACGTTAGCTGTAGCAGCAGTAACGTTAGCTGTAGCAGCAGTAACATTAGCTGTAGCAGCAGTAACGTTTGCTGTAGTGGCAGCAGTAACGTTAGCTGTAGTAGCAGTAACGTTAGCTGTAGCAGCAGTAACGTTAGCTGTAGCAGCAGCAGTAATGTTAGCTGTAGTAGCAGCAGTAACGTTAGCTGTAGCAGCAGTAACGTTAGCTGTAGCTGCAGTAACGTTAGCTGTAGTAGCAGCAGTAACGTTAGCTGTAGTAGCAGCAGTAATGTTAGCTGTAGTAGCAGCAGTAATGTTAGCTGTAGTAGCAGCAGTAACGTTAGCTGTAGTAGCAGCAGTAACGTTAGCTGTAGCAGCAACAGTAACGTTAGCTGTAGCAGCAACAGTAACGTTAGCTGTAGCAGCAACAATAACGTTAGCTGTAGTGCAGCAGTAACGTTAGCTGTAGTAGCAGTAACATTAGCTGTAGTAGCAGCAGTAACGTTAGCTGTAGCAGCAGTAACGGTAGCTGTAGCTGCAGTAACGGTAGCTGTAGCTGCAGTAACGTTAGCTGTAGTAGCAGCAGTAACGTTAGCTGTAGTAGCAGCAGTAACATTAGCTGTAGTAGCAGCAGTAATGTTAGCTGTAGTAGCAGCAGTAACATTAGCTGTAGCAGCAGTAACATTAGCTGTAGCAGCAGTAACGTTAGCTGTAGCAACAGCAGTAACATTAGCTGTAGCAGCAGTAACGTTAGCTGTAGCAGCAGTAACGTTAGCTGTAGCAGCAGCAGTAACGTTAGCTGTAGCAGCAGTAACGTTAGCTGTAGCAGCAGTAACGTTAGCTGTAGTGGCAGCAGTAACGTTAGCTGTAGCAGCAGCAGCAGAGTTAACATAAGCATCAGTGCCAGTTTGAGTAGCAACAGTACTAGTAAAACTTTAACTTTGTTGTAGCGGTGTTTAGTAAAATAAAGTGTATTTTTATAGATATGAATAGATTTTTTTGTTTGTTTTATTTTGTAAATAAAATAAAATACTTAGTCTAAAAGTCACATCCCTAAACTCCTGGATGACCAGGCATTTATATATGAAAACAATAGCAAAAAGTACGTGGAAGTAAATGTCAAAAATGTATAAAAAATAAACAACTCAGAAAAATAAATGTGTGAATGCTGAGTCAGCGTTTACACAAAGCTGAGTTGGCATTTAAACGTTAAAAAAAGTTTATTTTTGACCCAGTTTGTCCTGTATGACTCATTTCAGTTTGTGTTGGACTTTACTCGCTGAGTGATCGCTGCTGCTGTTCTCCTTCAGAACTGTTCTGCTCTGGGTCCGTTTTGGAAAGTGTTCCTATAAAAAGAACCTCTGATGATTAAAGTCATTGGACTCACCGGGACGGCACCGGCTCCACGTCGGCGCATTAATCTTCCTAATTAAAGCTCTGAATAATTTACTTCTCAGGTGTTTCAGGTGGTTCTGCCCGCCGAAGTGAAGCCCGACAGCTCGACGGCTCAGAGGTCCCAAACCACCGGACACCTGGTCCTGACCATGCCCCGGGTTGGTACCGCCACGCTGCAGTTAGACCCGTTAAACCTCGACCAGGCCCGGCACGCCGCTGCAGCAGAACTTTAAAAGRCTCGGACAGACAAAGTTTCTGCAGCCGAGGTTAATTAATGTTAAATATCTTTAATTTGACTTGGGCACACGTTCCTGCTCCTCTGAGGATGGACCTTAATCTGTTCTGATCCCATCCAGACGTAAATGTTCATCAGATGAAGAACTTCCTGTTCGAACATTTCACAGGAAATACTCAGTCTGGAATCCAAAACTATTAAAAACATTTTATGCATCTTGTTAAATCTGCTGWCGTGGCGGTTTTTTGCTCGTAGCTGTAGAAACTTTTTACAGCCTCTATAAAGATGGACCGGTGGTACCAGGTGGTACCACCACAGATGTTGTAAATCATCCGTACGGTTCCATCCTGTAACACCACGCCAGTAAACACAGCAGAAATGAAGGCGTAAATTTTTCTTTATTTTCTGCCTCCTTTCAGGCCAAAGGTGAAATCAGAGTTAAGGAAGCGGCCCGGCRGCCAGGAAGAACGGGTCGGAACAAACGCAGCAGCTGGACGGAGAACAGGTATGGTGATGAAGATGAGGAGGAACTGGCACGATACCATCAACTTACAGGTTTAACTAAAYGGAAACTTGACTGACAGGTCAGTCCTCTATGTGGGACAAAACACGGATCAGTGCACCGTGTTGATGAGGAACGTTCATCTTATGAAATCATACTTTGGTTTTACAAATAAGGAAATAAACATTTAACAC